AGGAGGGAGGAAGGAGGGAGGAAGGAGGGAGGAAGGAGGGAGGAAGGAGGGAGGAAGGAGGGAGGAAGGAGGGAGGAAGGAGGGAGGAAGGAGGGAGGAAGGAGGGAGGAAGGAGGGAGGAAGGAGGGAGGAAGGAGGGAGGAAGGATGACAGAGGGAGAAAGGAAGGAGGAAGGAAGTAAGAGGGAAGGGAGAAAGGGAGGAAGGAGAGAAAGGAAGGAATGAAGGAACAAAAGAAGGAGGGAGGGAGGAAGGAAAGGAAGGGAAAGAAAGAAGGGAGGGACGGAAGGAAGGAGGGAGGGAGGGAAGGAGGGAAGGAAGGAAGAAAGGAAGGAAAGGAAGGAAGGAGGGCGGGTGTGCTGCAGAGAGGTGCTGACCAGGGCAGACAGCCCTCTGGCAAGATGCAGCACGGGGACAGGTCCCACACAGCACTGGATGGTGAATCTCAGGGCTCCATCCCAAGAGCGACACTGCTGGGGCATCAGGCACACCGGCTCCTCCTCCTCTTGTTGCACTGGTATTTAATGCTGGTGCAAAAACTCTGAAAAAAAAAAAAGCAGCAACTTTTCCCGTTAAAGACTCCACTCCTTTCTTAACTTGTGAATCACCGTAGTGGATCCTGGCGTGTGCTAACACGGGGATAACACTATTGGGACGCAGAGTATTTATTCCCGCTTCCCAGCACTTGTCTGGTCCCTCCAGACTTCACCGCTCAGAAATAAACTGCTCTGACACTCAGAGCTGTTATTTCACAGAATTACAGACCGGGAAAATCGCCTGAGCACTGTACGGCTGCTCCTTTCATTGGGCTGGATCTTTGCATCTCCCAGTGTATTTTGTGCTTCTTTGGAAGATCAAAAGGGGCTCCTGGAAAATCAGGAAGAAGCAATGGGCCTGGATGCAGTTTTGCTCCTGACCCAAGCATCTTTCTGCCATTCCCAGTCCCCAAGGGCACGGGGACACCCAACCCTGGGGGACACCGGCTGTGTCCCTGCGCTTTCTCCGCCTCATCATTTTCTCTGTCCCAGTTCTTCTCCAACTCACTGTACCAAAGCTGCCCTGGCACAGTTTGGGCTGAAGGTTCCCCCGCTGCTGTGCTTATAGCTGTACATTTTAATCCAGACCATATTATAACCACGATAACGATATACAGGTGCCCCGATGGCGTCAAGTCACCCGAGTTGGCTGCAAGCAGCGTGCAAGAGACCGTCGGTGCCCTGAGGAGCTCCCACTGTGTTCAAAGCTCGCCGCCCACATACGAAATTAAAAATATAAAGGATTTCCTTCTTCCTCGGCAGCAAAGGCCGGAGGCGCGCGAGGCCCCGGGCCCGGCCTGACGCACCAGCCTTCGTCCCTCCCCACTCCGCAGCATCACCCAGTGCACGCTGCAAAAGCCCCAAATCCCCTTCCCCCGGGGCTTTAGGAAAAGCATCGGATACCCTGGGGGTGCCAATAGTGCCCCAAGAGATCGCAAAGGTTTCCGAGGGGGCTCTGACCGCGGGTCAAACGCGATGCTGTGGGGATATGGCCAATGAGGAGGTGGCTGGGGACGAGGGGGGTCGGTGGCAGCCCTATCTTGGCTACCGTGACTGGTGGCACTGGGAAAAGCCCAGTGGGGCCACGTCAGCGCTCATGTCCCTGGGAGGGCTGGGACTCCTCTGTGGGGACAGCAGGATGGTCAGGGCAGAGCAGGGGACAGCCACGGCACCCTGCACCTCTGCGGTCCTACACCATGCAACCTGCCCCCACGCACGGCCACGGCGGTACACGGCTGTGCATCCTGCGCCTTGTACCATGCAACCAGCACCGTGGATCGCTGCAGCCTGCACCGCGCATCCAACACCGCTGCGTTGGGCACTTCTGTACCTCTGGCCCCTGCGCTTCTGCCCCCCTGCACATCTGTCCCCTACATCTCTGCCCCTTGCACCTCTCCCCTGCACATCTCTGCTCCCCTGCACCTCTGCCCCCTGCACCTCTGCTCTCCTGCACCTCTGCTCTCCTGCACCTCTGCTCTCCTGCACCTCTGCCCCCTGCATCTCTGCCCACCGCATCTCTGCTCTGCTGCACCTCTGCCCCCCTGCACATCTGCCCCTACAT